CCAGGTTGCTGGCTGGGCTTGAACCACAACAGTAATACAGACAAAAAAATTAAAGCAGCACCCATTTATATCTGAGAAGATTATCACAACAGTGAAGGTGCTATTTCCCAGCATTTGGCTATTTGGGTCTGCTTCCACTGCCAGAATAATTCCTCTCTTCTACCACCATATTCACATCTTGGTTCGATACCTTACTTTCACCTAAACTTTTCACAATTTTTGGAAAAGATGTACTTTCACCTCACTTGGAAGTCAGAAAACGTTACACAGGTTTTCAGGCTGTAATCAAATTCTCTCTGAGGACACTGAAACAGTAATGTTTTGTCTGTGTGTGTGTGTACATGTTTACTTTGTGTGCACATAAAAGTGTCATAAGCATGCATATATATTTGTCTGACTACACATTCGCTTCAAATCCAGCCATAAAAATTAAGTCACTCATGCAAGGATTTGTTGTAATTCTTTCTTTATCTGCTTTAATATTTGATCAGTGAGTTTGGGAATGTTTTAATTTTTCCATTTGCATTCTAAAACAGGGGTTTAATATCATTTCTGCTGATAACTAATTCATTGTGTGCATGCAGTCGCTCCTGAGGTTGAGGCAAATTTATCTATACTTAAGCAAGTGCTTAGCTTAAATAGTAGTTAGTGTGGGTCAGCATTTAATGAAGGTATTGCTATAAAAAGTAGCTTTTCAGAAGGACTTACACTAGTTTGTGTCCAATTCTCCAGGAAGTGCAGGCATATATTTTAATGGCTGATAAGAATGGAACTTTCTCAGTGTCTTATCTTAAATTGTGAGATCTTCTGAACTTTGGGACACTGCAGGCCTCAATATGAATGGATTATGCACTTAAGTTAGTCCTACCAGGTATCCAAAGAGATCTGTAAAGGCTTCCTGGACGATGCCCTTATGTGTGGTATGTAAAAAGCTACTTACCCTGTTTCTGATCTAATGTGTCATTCAATCTACTGTACAATGATGCAAATGGAAAGGTAGAGACTGTATCTTCTCCAGTCTTACAAATTAGTGGTAAGAAGAGCCAAGGTAAATGGAAGCTGTGGTTTTAAACTGTGTTGCTTTGAACATACTAAGAACATTGTAATTATGTTACCAGCTAAAGGTAAAAGTCATTTAAGTCACAAGCCTTAGTACTGTACTGCAAAGTTACACTGTTTTAATGGTTCATTTGTTAGGGTAATAATACCTTAGTGGATCAAGTGCTTCCATTAACACTGACAGCATGGGTCTGTAAAGCTGCTCAATTCCACAGAAGGTTTTTGGCAGTAATACAAGATTATCTGATCAGCTGTTTTGAAATAGCACAAAGCAGCTTACAAACACAAATATAGGTACATACTGGTTGGTTCCCTATCCTTTAACTAAGTCCAAGAGCTAGTAAGAATGCTCACAAGAAATAATCTTTTTAGTTTGTCAGGTGTGAAGCTCTATAAGAATCTGAGCTCTGTGAAAAAGGTAGATATATCAAATGTTCTCACTGAATTACTGAGAGATATTTTTGTTCAAGGAAAGAATTTCATAATAGGTATGAAATCCAATTAAAGTATAGCTGCTTACCAAAGAGAAAAAGTGTGATTTGACTTGAAAAATGGCAGGACACTCAGCAATGTTATTTAAAGGGTGCTTGCTTTCTCTCTCCTTTGATTGATGTCAGAGAAAGTTACTTTATTCTGTGGTCAGCAGTATGGCTGGGCTTGTACAGACAAAAACTGTATTGCATTTGAGATTGTTGGTAATTATTATGTGCTTTGTATAATGCAGAAACTCCGATGTATTCTAATTAAAATATGAGTCCACAAGTAGATACAATGATAGATGAAAGAAAATGCCAGGTTATTTATTACCTGGTAAATACCATGTTAAACTGTTACAAATAATAGTTAAAGCTATGTCAAGTGCTTAAATATATATGCATTTTAAGGACAATTTGGAAGAAGAATTCATTGTTCTGATTTGGTAAACCATAAAGTGAACTCCTTTGAAGGGAAAGCATCCTTCTCAGAAAAAGGAGTTACGTAAAAGGTGATGGTAGGAAATCTACTGTGGCACTGGTGGTGGAGCAGAAGAAAGAGTCCAATTCCTAGATAAGAGACTATAGTTAGAGTGATAATAGATTGTGCAAGTCCGTAGACAAGACAAGGATCCATGTCTCTCTTGTATTTTTTTTTTTTTGGGCCTTTTTCACACAGAGTAGGCATTGCTTCTGTTCCAGGCAGCTATTAATACTGCATATGAGAGAGCTGCTTCTCAAGAGAGTCTTTATCCCTTTCACTTACTGGATTGTCTCAGATGGGATTGTGATGACAGTAACCCTATTCTCAGTAAACAAAATCTCTTGAATTATATAAGATCAGGAGGACTGCTATGCCTCAATATGAAAGACTGCACTATCAGGATGGGTTTATTATGCAACTTTGCCAGCTTTCACTTTGTATAGAAATCCTCAATGCATGCATTTGTTTTCGGGGTCCTACATTTTTTACAACTTACCTGTGCAATCTGGGGCTTGCTTTGTTTGTTTCTTACTGAAAAGAACTGAATGGGTGGAAAAAAGATGCGCAACTTATCGTACAAAAAGGTGGATGAGCACAAGTCAGGACGACTATCTTGGATTCTTACCCTGTGGTTTTGTTTGGTTTTTTTTTTTTGGGGGGGGAAGTGTTTAAAAATGTATTGTATGCATTATTACTGTAAAGACTGATAACATTGTCATTGTTTTTAGGCTGTGAGAAGACAAAAGAGTCTTGAACAGAGTATTCAATCTGCCCAGGAGACTGACAAAACCCTACGCTTAATCCAAGAGTCTCTTGCTGTTATTGACAAACAGCTAACAGCCTACATTGCAGACAGAGTTGATGCAGCACAGGTACCTCAGGAAGCACAGGTAAGTTATATACAGTTTGAATATAACGTATTCATGTGCTTACTGGTTTTCTCAATCAACCAAAGAGTGTTTGGTTGTCCCTCAGCATCATATTAATAATTGGGATTTGCAATATGATCAGTATGAAAGTGCAAGTAAATTTTAGGTAGAATTCCTTTGAGATGTTCAAGCTAATCTTCCAGTCAAGTGATATTTTCCTTCTGGTTTATATTATATATGTGTCCAGAAAATGTAAAGAACTATAAATGTCATGGAAGACTATGCATTAATTTTAAAATTACAAAGATAATAATATGACTCTTTGAAATTCAGTTACCACCCTAGAAAGAAGAAACTTCCTTATCTTCACTACTCTTAGATGGCTCTTTTACAAAGTTGATTATGTGGCCTAGGGATTGTTATTAAATTGTGGAAACAGACAACATGGTTAATTATTTCATGATGTGCATATGTTCATATGTTTCAGTTTTTACAGCTCACATAAGTTTAACAGAAACAGCTTTTCCAGTTCTTTAGAAGTAGTTTATTGAGCCTTTGAAATAAACATGTACATCTAATTCTCATTTATACCATTTCATTCTTTCTTCTGTAATATCTGCTTTACTGCTGCATTAAAATGGTAAAAATACAAATTAAAACCAATAGTTTACAATTTTATGTACAACAATTTTTCTGTAAATTCTACCTAAATTTTGGAGGTCAGATTAGAAAAGTTAACAACAAACAAAAAAGGCTACAGAGAAATTGAAAATGAATGCTTTGTAATGATTTTAGAAGAGGCATTCAATAGAGTCTTAAATCATTCTAAAAAATGGGTGTCTTGTATGAAGTATCTTAGATGATCTGAAATATGGTCAGAGCTGAATGTATATAGACGTGAAAATCATGTTTTCTCTCCTTTGAAAATAAAGATTTCCATATCTTTTAAATTAAAAATTGAAAGATAGATATGTGTACCTTTCAATTGCTTTTCTAGAGTGTGTGTGTGTGTTTGTAAGAACGAGAACGTGCATTTATTTTTAAGTATATGTGTATGAATTTTAAAAGTAATATTTAAAGAACAGAATCATATTTGCATTTGAGCTTATTTTGAAAAGGATTCTAATTTATTTGCTTCCAACTTATGGCAGTATAAGATTAGGATCAGATTCAGGTGAATTATTTTAGTTTGAATCCTAAACTATGTTAGCTATCAATTGACTCCCTTGAATTATTTTTCTTTTTCCTCAAAATATGAGTATTGTAAACAATTTTTTCATGAAAGAGGATACAAATCAGCATTTATTAAAAATGTATCAGAAAAAAACAATAAGAAAGTGTGCTCTTTTTCTTGTGTATTTGGACCCTTACATTGTAGCAATGTTTGATGGTGCTTCATGTATCCCATGGACGCACCTGATTTATGTGCATCCTCAGGTAGAATATTGACAATGATTACAGATTGTATAAACAGAAGTAATACAATGCTTCAGCAACTGAAGCAGCACAAAACTCAACCAACCTTAATAAGCATGCTCTCATGGGTAAATTTCAGCTCAGTGCTTTTGCAGAACTTGGTTTTGTTCTTGAGATTTTACTGTCTGATATGAAGTTCACCTGGTAATACTATAACCACTGTTGGAAAAACGGCATAGAGGCTGCTGAGTTGTAAAGTTCTCTAAAATCCTTAGAGGGAAAGGAAAAAACCAGTTTTATACAGATAAATATACTGAGTCATTCCTTCAGTGAATGGCTATGCTAACTGGTGGCAGAATAGGCACATACTGAAGGGCTGTACCTCTTGTGGAGCTTCTGCGGGCACAGACCTTTCATATAAGATACCCTAGAATAGCGTCTCTATAGCTGTAATGGGAATCTTTCAGTCAGTGATGTTGATTTCTGGGCAGGGATCAGTTTATCCATGCTGAGGGATTTAGTAAACTGTTCAGCAATATCTGTTGCATATCTGAGAGAACATATGGGAGAATTTATAATCAGAAAGCTGTTGAGGGTTTAGGAGTTCTGCATCTTTGCTTCAAAAATTCAGATCTCTTTAGAGCATTGCTAGGAGGAAAAATCTTTGGCTCAGCTGATCGGAAATGAATCTGAGAAAACAATATTATGTTTAGCTCCTCTTTTTAAATAAAATGATTAGTTTAGCTTATTCAGAGTTGACAAAAGGGGAGTTAAGTATGTGCTGCTCAAGATCTCCTTTGGATCATTTTTTGAATGTAAATTGTGTGTGCTTCTTACTCCACCATGTGGCACTGCGAATTTAATGTGAGAGCCACTTCCGACCAACTCATTTTGAGTACAACTAAAGACGTTGTATTCAGATAAAACAATCTCATAGCAACTGAACAGATAAATAAGTTCAGATTCATTAAGGTGTAATGATGGAAAAAGCTTCAATAAGGTAAAATCTAAAAGAGTGTTCCAGAAGGGAAGATTATTTCTTTGTATGCTTGTCTCATGATCCCAACACAAATCTCTTTAATTTCTCTAAATATACTAAGAAAACACAGGGAATTAAGTCATCATCACTGATGATGTCATTTGACACTTACTGCCTTTTTTTCTTTTTGAGTACTCTGACAGGAAGTGAATAAATCTGTACTGAAAATATTACATTGATATGAAAAATATTTTTTCAGATAATTATCTGTAGCTTTGTCATTCAATAACTTCTGATGAGAGAGAGAATCTTCACTTTGTACTTCTGTTTAGTCTGAGCAACTACATGGGGGGGGCTGTATCATGGGACAGAAAATACATTTATATTACTTCTCACCTGCAAGTGACAAATCACTTGTCTGTTTTTCTCCCTGTAGACTTCTGTAAAATGCAATGTGGAGAATAAATTAACAATATTGTGTTTACCTATTCAGTCTTTCCTTGTAAATCATGTTTCTATCCTCTGACGATCTGCTTTTCTCATTTGAATTCTTCAGTTAATCTTTCATGAAGAGTAGTGTCCAAAACTAAGTATGCTTTCTTTTTAACACTTACTTGTGTGTCATTCCTGTTATAACATAATTTCCTATATGTAGTATGTTTTTCTTTTATTTTCGCAAATGCATGACTTCATTGCACATATTCTTTTTGTGCTTTTGAAGATGGATACTTCAACTGCATTTTTCTATTATTCTGGTATTTTGTTTATCCTTTCAGAGTCTTCAAAGGTAACCACTAACAGTTCTGAAGTTGTTTCATATATCTTTTTTGTCTATTAGAAACATGATCTTTCCATTATGAAGACTAACTTAACAGATTGCTCACTAGATGTTTTCTTTTCTCCATTTATTAGGCTGACTCCTTAGGAATTGATAGCACTCGCAAGCAAAAAAGAGGTTAAACTGAGCACCATACTTGAGAATTGTTAGTCTAGCTAAGTAGTACAAAAATACAATTCAGAAAACCTGATACACCAAGAAGAGCTGACAGGCTGTTCTCTGTAATTCAAGAGAGCCAAATCTGCAAATTCATATCCAGAAATCAGAACAAAAGAAAAAGAAAAATGGTTAATTCTCACAACTTTTAACTTAACCTCTTTGCTGCCAGTATTTAATGAACTATAATTTATTATGCTTATTTTATTTTTTTGTGGAACCTAATAAATCAAATTGAGACTAGTAAATTGGCCATTCTCATTACAGTGCATTCCCATAGCAAGTATTTCACTTATTTGTTGCTCATCCTAAGTTCAAGTGACGTCAAGGTTTCCTGTCCCATCTTAGAAGGGGTTGATATATTTCTCTTTCTTCTGGATGTATCCAACTCTTGAGAACCTAGCAACTTGCTGATCTTTGTAGTATAGTCAATATTTAATGCAAATTAATTCCTCCCTGTGTTATGAATTTCTGAAAACTAATACAATACTATGAGGTCTGGCAAGATGAAATTATGATGTCTTGGAGGATAATGAGCACTGTAATTTACATGTCCTGTGACCTTGCCCCATTCCTGAAGTAAACAGAACCAACAGAGTCTTCTTCTTAAGGAGCAGACAAAAGACATGAGAAGTTTCTCCCAGTTCTGGGGTGGAAAATGGTATCTCTGACCTGCCATGAGAAAGCATTTCACCAGTATGTTTTCCAGATTGTCCTTCAAACTTTTTTTCAACCTGCTGATATGACGTCAGCTGGAACTGTCTGCTGTTTTTTTAGTGTAGTCCTTTCAATGTTACTCATTCTAATATCTGTGTTTGCATATTAGCTGTGCACCCGATTTCATCTTGTCTTTTCAGCCATTATTCCACAACACTAGTTCTGTGTATGTTATGGATCTGTATTTTTATCCTTTGATTATAAATATATATCACTTTGTTTTAGTTAAATAGGGAGGGTTGGGGGGTTTGGGTTTGACTTTTTTTCCCCCAAAAAAATCTCTCCATTGTTATGCTGAATATCACTGGCTGGCATTTCTTCATTTGTGATTTTGTTGTTTGGTTTTGGGTTTGTTTTTGGTTTTTTTTTTTTAATATGATGACTGATTTTATGACAGCAGGTATTGATGGGAAATGACATACACTCAAGCCTTCCAGTTCAATTTTCTGTTGCAAATAATCTTACAGAGTTTATGTGCCCTGTTATCTTTTTTTCTAAATGCTGTTCTCAAACCATGAGATTGCAGTTAGGTTTGTGACAATTTTCAAATGAGACAAATAGTCATTCTGGTTCTTTTGTCTTTCCTTTCTTTGATTCGAGATAGGAAAGTTTTTTTCCTAGAACTGGCTGCACTGCCAATTCTCTGCTTTTGCTGTCAATGAAGTATTACTGTCTGAATTTCACTGTTCATCTTTTTAAAATTAAGACTAGTAATTAAGAGAAATAATGTATTCTATGCCCTAAGGACTGAAATATTTTTGTTCTAGAAGTGGTCCTCATGAGAATACACATGATGTGCCTATGATCTTGTAAATATAATTAGGTTTTAGATTTATTTATACTTTATTTTATACATGCATGTGTATATATAATACAAGTTTTGAAAATTAATAAACTTCCTGAAAAAATGCCAGTGATGGTAAATGAAAATCCTTAATCTGTAGGGCATGGTAATTTATGCACAGTAGTATTTATTAGTAACATACACTACATTATATTGTGGTATTTTAGAAATGAAATGAAGACAGTTTATACTCTATATTTAAAGACAAAATAGGAACCACTGAGAAAAGTAGAGGTGGGAATAATTGAAATGGAAAAAGAAAATGAGGGTTTTCTTGTGGATGTTTAGAAGAAGTCGATGTAATAAATTCATAAGCCAAAATGGACAAAGAAATCAAAATGGTCACGTTGAAATTAAGAAGCGACATCATAGGCAAGTGTTATAAATTCTCTTGCACCTGTTCAACACTGATAGAATCTTTCTGCCTCTTAACAGCAATGACAAATGCAAAAAATCTTTTCTTGCTATAAGCCTTACTAACTTTTCTTTTAAGCTTTCTTCTAATGTCTTTGTTCTCTCTAATACTACATTTTGATGTCAGAGTAGGTGAAGCTTCATCTGTCTCATGAAGAGCAATTTAAAAAAGTAAGACAGAATAATCTCCATGCAGTGTCCATAATACCTAATTTCTTAAACACTACTCTCATCTGTGCTGTGCTGTTCTGACCTATTCAGATAAGAACTGTTCAGTTATTTCCAGAGTGACTCTGAGGCTGAACTAAGTAAACTTGAAAATATAATCAAAAATAGGTTAATTGATGAGGTTGCTGAAACAAACATTTGAAATACTGGATGTGATATACTATATTTTTCTAATGTCAGACTTGCTTCTTTCTTGTATATACCATTCTGACTTCCAAGGCATCAAGGAATTTTTTGGCTTCAGGAGATAGCTAATGCTGAGTCTCCACAAACAGTTTGGTCCGTGTTTGCCCATGGAAGTTCTGTACACCTCAAGGGGGAAATTTTAAACTTGAACAAGGAGGAAATAATTACTCCAAAATAAACTGTTAAATAATCTTTCTGTTATTGATTGCATTGTCCTTTTAATTGACAGTCTTTGTTTTCTCAAAACTAAAATATGATATTTGGAAAAATTCTATTACTTGCTCCAGATACTGTTGGCAATAGAGTACATAGGCTGAAAAGGAGAACTCAAAATATGAAAAATAGAAATTGTACAATTACGATAATTTTAAATAAAAATATTAATCTAAATGGACAGCTTTCTGTCAGTCATTATGCTTTTATAAATGCTTTGCTTCATGAAAATATTTCTTGAAATAGTACTAGGTAGTTTAGACTCATACTTTTGCAATTAAATTTAGTAATGACTTCATAGTTTTCTGTATTTTTGTAAATCTCCTAAAATTTACTTTAATATATTTTCAGTATGATTTGTAAAAACCTGCTCTCAATGTAGTGTTGTAATATACAAGATATTATATTATACAAATCATTATAACCCTGTAATACCCCTACAAAGTAAACAGCATACAGTGTAAACAGCTTTTTACTCAATAACCCATGCAATTTCAAGTACCTATACATTCATTTTTTCTTATAATCAAACTTTAAAGGATCATGTTGTAATTTAAAAACCACTTGTCTTCATTTGCATGACTCTCTGCCATCTTTTGAACTACAGTTTTCATATTTTACAAGTTACTGTTGTATCTCAGAAATGCTTTTGTGTACCATTGGGGGGGGGGGGGAGGTTAACTCTGAATCATTTTTTTTGGTCCCTTGGGGGGGGGGGGGAAGTTGAATCTGAATCACTTTTTTCATTGAAAAGTAATTTTCATTGAGGAGTAATGGCCTCAAATATTTTTCCTGGTGGGAGCATACCTTGTCTGTATTTCTTAGGGTAATTGTTCTCAGCAGTGCTTGTCTAGCAATTCTGCTAATAGCAGTTTCTCATTTGCTAACAATTCAAACATAAAAATATGTGAATTGCTCGAAGTTATGGTATATCAATACATTATATGGGAATTCTTTTCTCAATGCTGCTTAAGTTAATTGTTTCTTCTATCTTTGATTTATAGTGAACCAACAAGGCTGATACTTTTCTTGTGATCAATTCATTGCATGCTGGTTTTGCAGAAAGAGATTACCAGAAATATGTGTTAGAAAATGGATTTAGTGTATTAATGAACTCTAAGTCATTATTCACTTAGCATATCTACAAATTCTGAACATAGATTCTGGTCAGTAATATGTGAGAAATTGTATACTGTTTTAGATATAACACAGCTCTGTGAGATGCAGATGTTATACCCACAGAACACTTTGATGAGTTTTCTCTCAACTTGCCTGATGATACTGTGAAAATAATAAGAAATAAGAAGTGAAGCAAATAACTTTCCTATTTGTATTTTTCTTTTCTATGATTAATTTTTTTTTTTTTTCCCCCAATGAAAACTGTTGTTTTCCTTCAGAAGAAAGAAATCTGTTGTTTTTTGTTTTGGGTTTTTTGCATACAATTTAATCATAATTTCCTTAGAAAAATTATGTTAAAATCTGGTTTGTATGTTTGAGTAGGAGAAGAAGCTTACATTATGGTTGAGACAAACTAAACTGAATAATTCACAGGGTGGTTAACAAGTAGTTTTTTGAATAATTTCCTCTAATAGTACTTCTGCTAAATATCTTTCAAAATCAGCTTTTCCAAATAATATTAACAACTTGAAAATTTTATTCAACCCGTTCTGATTAGTGTCTTGATTTTTTTAATAGAAAATACAATCTGAATTAACAAGCCACGAGATTAGTTTGGAAGAAATGAAGAAAAGAAGCCGGGGTAAAGATGCTGCCAAAAGAGTGCTTTCCCAAATTGATGTGGCACAGGTATGCAATTCTTTTTTCCTCAATTTTTCCTCCACATATGCAAACAAACAACATGAGTAATATAATTACTATAGTATGAAGTGTTCTTAAGGCATCTCTTCTGTTTTAGCAGCTCCTTTCTAGCCAGGAAATTATAGTGGATAAAGCATACCATCCATATCTTCTTACTGCTTGTTTTTCTATTACATCATTCCTATCTAGTTGGCAAAAGTTCTAGGGTACTCAGGTGGTAGGAACACTGTATTAAAAGTGTTTTAAATGTGCTTCAGTTACAAGAAATAAAACTACAGTGAGGATTTTTGGTATACTTTTTGAGGTATTTGAAAATATTTACAGCTAAAAGTATGTTAAATATTTGAAAATATTTGGTAGAACTGCATTGAAAAGACAGATCTATGTTAAGCAGTGTGTTGCAGTCATCAGTATAAAATTTAACTAATATACTATTTCATCTAGTTTAATAGACATAGACCAGTTTGAAATTGAAGACTTAACACTAACAAACAATACCTATTTTTCCCCATTGATCTATGATGGGTTCTTGATGATTTTTCCTGCCTTTTTTTTTTTTTTTTTTTTTTATATTAGTGCCAAAGTTCCTTCGGCTGCAAAACAAATTGTCATAATTCGTTAGAAAGACAAATAATTTCATTATGGTATTAACAGTAACCAAGGCCATCTTTTTCTTCATCTATCAAATATTTCTATGTATCTTAGCTTCAGTTCTAGATGTTATTTTGGAAAACAATGGCTTTTTAAGAGTTAAAGTTGAAATGAACAAGTTGGGTTTTTTTTAATGTTTCCTTTAATCTACAGGACTAGCTTTTCTTTGTTGAGAATATTTATATTCTTTTATTTTGCTGTCTTTCTCCCCACTAACTCACCTGATAGTCTCCATGGCAGCTGTGATGTTGCCAATACTTCATCAGTGAAATGCAGGCATAAAATGACTGTGTTTATAAATTTAACAGCATGCAAGGGAGCACTACCCTTTCTAGGTGCCTTTTTTATTTTTTATCTATCTTTGTGCACAATTTTTTTTCATGCAAAGGCTTCTCTAGATGACCATGTGCCTCAGTTTGTTTGAACATTTTGCATGCCATTAATTTTACTACTCCTTAGTTGTCTCTTTTCTAGACTGACAAGTATGTTAAATCATCCTGACAACTTTAAATATATAGCATTGATTGTCCTGTCATTCTTCTTTGTACATTTTCTATTTTTACAGTAAGTTTTCAGAGAGGAGTCAATCAAAACTGTACACATTATTCAGGCACAATATAGCTTTATACAATAACTTTTATACAGTGGCAGGTTTATCTTTTTTTTTTTTTCTTTATTCCAAATTGTCTTTATTGTTCCAAATCGTTCCAAATACCCGGTCTGTTGTTAAATGTTTGCCTGTTTTTACGTATTGACCTAATATCTTTTTGAAAACTGTTGGAGATAAATAGAAGTATATAATATAACTGTTATTTATTATAACTCAAGTGAGAATGCTAATAGGTAATTTAGCTCCCACCTGTTGTACATCAAGTTTAGTGTTTCTTTTGTGGTGTGCATTACTTAATTTTAGGGTGAATTTAATATAATTTGCTTGGGTTTTTTCCTGCAGAACCTCAGTGCTGTTCCATTCTTCACTGACTCTTCACAGATGGCTTTAATTTCATCTGCTACTTGGACTGATGTTCCCTCTCTTTTCCCTTATTTTTAATGTATTGACCAACATCAAGTTGAAGTGTCACAAGAGGATTAAAAACTAATTATGAATTTAGTGTATGCAAACACACTAAAAAAAAAAAAAAAAAAAAAAAAAGACCACACAATTCTACTTCCTAAGGCAGCTAATCTTGCCTGCAAGTTTGGGGTCACAAGAAAGACTTCCTTTCATACCCTATTGGATCTCAATTTCAATTTCATTAAGAGTATTTAATGAGGAAAATTGTTGGAAGGAGTTGCTGGAAAACAACACAGTTTTTTGTGTTACACAGAATTGTTTTCTGCTCGTGATTCCTGCCTTCTTCATAGAAATCTGATAGATGTGGGAAGCATTTTTCTAATGCCTATGTATAGGCTAGTTCTATTCCTTATTACAGTTTTTCTCAAGTTTGTATGATACAGACGACACTGTATTGGTATGAAGTGTCTAAGATTTGAAGATAAATCAAACTGTGTTTGCATATGCTCAGTTCCTGTCAGTTATCCATTTCTTTGTGACATTTTTTTCTTTTTTTTTTCCAAAGAGTGGAAAAACTTAACTCTACTAGTACTTCGCTTTGTGTTTCTAAAGAGAAATTAGTCCTTATTCAAGAAGATAATTAAAATGCCCTTTCTTTTCTGTATTTTTAATTATTTCCCCTCCTCCTGAAGTAGGGATCATGTGAGCAAGCAATATAATTAGTGCACAAAGATAGCGAATTGTGAAAATTGTGAAATTAGAAGCTATGCTTGTCATAGATTTTTCTGCCTGCAAATTACTTTCTTATTACTCTAGGTTATGGTTTTTTTAAATTGAAATAGAAATCAATTTTATACTCTGAATCTCAGGGTTTGTGCTAGACATACTTACTGTCCAGCCTTTTTATTTGGGTTTTTCTGAGGGACTAAAAGATTCAATTGTAATACCAAGAAGCAGCAACATGGTGTTAGAGCTGATGTGTATCTAGCCTGGAATGTGGATGTGTTGTGCTCAAGCCATTAAACCTGTGTTCTTCCCCATCCACCACCATTTTGTGTATTGGAAAATACAAAACTCTCACTTTCTTCACCTTTTTGTGTCACTAGCTCTGCTGCATCCAGTGTCCTGGATGATATGAGAGTTTTTTCCTCCTGTGAAGACCAAGATTCTCTATTGCTGGTATTTTCCCCCAAAGTTTTAAATTCTTTAAATAAAAACCTGCTGGTTGATAATGGATTCAAAGTATTCTGGAACAGGTCTAAGACTTGTCTTCGGTCTTAGTTTCAAGTCAGTGTTCAATTGATATCACATTTGCTACTTACCTATGCTTACTTTTCAGAAAAAGCTGCAGGATGTCTCCATGAAGTTTCGCTTGTTTCAGAAGCCAGCCAACTTTGAACAGCGCCTACAAGAATGTAAAAGAATTTTAGATGAAGTGAAATTGCAGGTGCCCAAGTTGGAGATGAAGAGTGTGGAACAGGAAGTAGTACAATCACAGCTGGATCATTGCATGGTGAATATTTAAAGAAGCTGTCTTTCTACTTGTTTCTTGCCTGTTCTGCCTTTCAAATTTAAAGTATTATGAATTACAGTATCAATGTTTCTTTGGGAGATATTAGAAAAGATTCTGAGAAAGATTTAGCAGCAAAGTTACTCAAATTTATAGGAATCTTTTCAGTTAAAGTTTGATATTTTTCAAGGAGAGGAGGATAGGGAGAAGAGGTTGATCCTTTTTGCCCTACTTCTCTTGTTTTCAAATGAGGTTAAAAGGACATTGTACATTTAAAATTCTATTCAATTCAAAGTTTTCCTGGATATAATAACACAGTGAAATAGTTCTAAAAATCTTACAGTAACTTTTTCCTTTCTATGTGTTGTTCTCTTCTGTCATGGCAAAGACCTTTCAGAAGCATGGGAAGCTAATTATATGATTTATTTTGGTGAACTTTCAAACAATGGTCATGCACTTTCACTGTGTGAGAAGACCAGTCAGGATCCCTTTCTAATTCCCCCTTCTGATCTTGCATGTGAGTTTATCTCCCTGGATTGGCTCTATTTTCCACAATATTCTGCCATCAGGGAGCTCCATGGTGTGACCAATAGAGATGTTGTAGTGCACAAGTCTACTCTCGCCAGGAAATGCAAAACATAAAGGAAATTATGTTTTGATTAAAGCTTCCATGAGATGCAGCCTGTGACTTTCTTACAGTTCAAAAGCAAAAGATGACCTGAATATGTTCTAAAGAATATAAGAAAATCTGTATATACCTTTAATATCCCTATAATTCTCTACCCTTTTACGTTGAAGCAAAATCAATATAAAGATGAACACCGTGTGCTTGATCATAATAAAATGGAGATTTAAGAGTGAAAATCAGGACAATCAGGTCCTTGTCTTCAGGTTTTTGTTTTGTTTTGTGGGCTGTTTTTTGTTGTTGTTTTGAGTTCTTGGGATTTGTTTGTTTGTTTGTTTTTTCTGGGGCAGTGGCATGCCTGAAGATTTTTTTTTCCCCAAAAAACCTCTTTCAGATGTAAATATAAGAATGTAAATGAAAAAATAAGTATGGAACAAGTCAATGTTATTTCTTTGCATTTTGGTTTGTTTCTTAAGTGCAATTACTATTAAATTCACATTCTTATTAGAATGACATGATAATTAGAAGCCCTGAACTGTGTTAAAGTATCTTCACTTGTCAGCTAGCTTTTGCAGCCCTGTCATGTTCTGTGGAAGACTTGCAGTATTTTTAGAGCGTATTTATCTACAAAGAATCTCATAATATTTCTATTTTTAAAATCTAGTCATAGTATCCCATCCGGTATTAGCCAGTGTACATCATACAACAGCTTCCTAATTTATTGACAGGTTTTCTGTGATGAAGAACGTATTTATCATATTAAGCATCTAAAAAGCAGTCAAATTATATAAATATATACATTGAAGTAAATAAAATAACACCAATGTTAAGAATTGGCTTGGTAATTAAATTATGGATAAAATTAACTTGGGATTTTTTTCTTGTCATATCTGCTAGAAGAAAGGTCTTGTCTTTACTGTCCGGATATACTCAACAAGGTTTTACAGTGCTCAAAAAATTGCAGATTAAAAAAGTACAGTATAAATTATTTTGCAGTTCTGTCTAAATAAGTAAGTTTACTTTCCAGCATTTTGCTGGGACACAGAATTAAGCTAGATATCTCAACAACAAAGTTTCTCAACAGCTTCATGTCTGCTATTCTTCATGTACCATGTAGTAATGGGCATTGTGTATCTCTGTGGAGTCTTTTTCCAAAGTGAAGTTTAATGGAATTTCCAAGCCATGGCAGAATTAATTCTTAGATTAAAAAGAAAAAACCTTCAACTTCTGGTCTACTTAGATGAATGTTAATTGGGTATTTATGTGGCTGTTGAATAGCTTGAGTTACCAAGTCATATGTTTAGATGATGATAGTGACTTTCTGCATATGGAAAGAGAGAATACTTCCTTTTTTGTCATGATCACTCCTTTGAATTATTATGGAATGTATTGTGTTTACAGATAGCTTGCATGTCCTCACTGAACATCCGTTTATCCCTTATTTTCTGCTTAGTTGTTGAAATAGTGCAGGAAAATGCAGTGTACTATATAATATATTTTGGCTTAACCTCATTATGTTACTTTTTCATGTTGTTTTCTTAATAATTTATTTTTTTGAACAGTACTACACTTAGTAAATGTAGGGGAAATCTTCTATCCTGCCAGTCTCTAGATTTAGTAGTTTGAAAAACTTGGATTTTTAAATTAATTTAGTGGGTATTTGTAGTTTAAATACATCCAACAAGCTGTATAAGTTGGCAGAAGACATCTGTTATTGTTCTAAAGACTGCATTATCTAAATCAGTTTGAAAACAACCTTAGTAATTTTTTAAAACAATTAGTGGTGGCCTGTACTTTCTGTAGCATTTCTCCATTGGTTTTGGTGACAAGACTTTGAAGCCAAAATTAGTAAAGATAAGCTGTTCTGAATCTGTTAATTGGAATTCTGATTTAGAAACTGATTAATTTTTCTTACAAACATTTTTTTTAATATATTCAGGGTGAGCTTTCTCTATCCTTAGATCACATACCATGGTACTTTACAACTCCTTTAGCTTTCAAATGGGAGTGAAAGGTTCACAGTCATGTATGATGGTGTTTTTATACAGCAGACAATGCAAAGACTTCTAGCATGTCTTTATGATACCTTCTAGTCTTTTCTGATTTACTTAACAGTAATGTTTCACTCCCATATTTCTATTTTATTAGAAATTATATAAAAGCCTGAGTGAAGTGAAGTCTGAAGTGGAAACAGTGATAAAAACTGGGAGGCAGATTGTTCAAAAACAGCAGACGGAGAACCCAAAAGAACTGGATGAAAGGCTTACAGCTTTAAAGTTGCAATATAATGAATTGGGCGCAAAGGTAAGCTCTGTGTTTTGGTACAAAACTACACCCTCTTTTTAACTGGGAAAGTGAAGAATAATTTTGGTATGGTAAGTAAATGAGGTTTTACTGGTTCTTTTCAAGACCCTCATATTATCTAAACAGTGGGACAGAAAGAATGGTGGCAAAGACAATCATCAGGATGTCTATTCCATTGCTTTGAGAAAAAAATAACCTTCTAGAAAAATATAAAATTCCCTTATTACAATTTAAAATAATACTTTCTTAATGTTTTAATATTTTTTTTCTGTTAGTTCATTGGCTTTTAGGGGTCAGAGGGGGATGTTGCTTGGTTTTAATGCCTCAAACCATCACTTGTTTCAAGACACTTGAGGTCAGAAAACTACTTAGATTTTTTCATGCTTTACTTAAGGAGGTACTTCATAAAAGAGACAATGCCCCCTTTTCATTTCCTTCTCCCTCTGACTGTCCAGATGTTTAAGTATATAATTCCTTTTGTTGCAGTTCAAAAATTTGTTGACCAGAGATTCTTGCTGCTGTGGCTTTCTTCAGGGAGCATTTGTGTGCCACTCTGCCTTGCTGCTTCTACACTCTTGACCACACATGTGTTCAGATATTCTCATAACCATTCCTTGGTTTAAATGTCATGCTCAATGCTGACTTACCTTTTCACTGTATAAGCCACACAGAGTATTGTTTAGTTATCAGTATGTGGAAGAACTGTCCCTTTATTACACATCTGAGATACCAGTGAACTCTTCTTTAGAATTCTGTCATCATCCTCCATTCCATAGGACTATCAACTTACTTCATGTTGGGCAAAAGTAAATCATCATCCTTTGAGCTCTGTAATGAGGAATGTATTTCCTCGGAATACAACTTGTTTGTTTGTTTTAAATCAGATATCGATACAGCTATCAGCTTGATCACTTAGTGAATGTCAGCATATGATTAGGAGGACTACATGAATACTTTCCCTATATTTTTTTATATAATCTCAACTTCACTTCCAGAAAAAGATAAATAGTTCTCAAAATGTGTCAGACTTTTACCTTATGATGCCAGTGATAGTTATTTATATATAATTAACCTTGTAGAATCGAGTCCTGTTAATTTCCCATGCACTGTCATTCCTTGTGTAAAATTTCCATCTATGCATCATTTCTTTATCGAATCATATACACTTAAGTGCTGTTCCAGTTTCAAACAGAGAATTGTTTTATTTACTAAACAGTAGGAAAGACAGACTACTAACCGATATTAACAAGATTGTGATTAGGAAAGAAAAAAACCATACATCAGACTTTTTATTCTGGGTCTGTGTTATCTGTGGAGTGTGTTGCCTGCTCCTAAAATACAAAGCTCTACAAGGACCTTTGATCTCTAAAAAGAAGTTGTGGTATTGTCATAAAGGTGACTTCAGGCAAATAATTCAATTAACAACTGTTCTTCCTTACTCAGTTTTCTTCCTCTTACCCTCACTAGAACTGCCCACAGAACATACAAAAACTGTAATATCAAAGTAAATTTGGTGCTGTAAGTGGAAGAATGTGTAAATGACAGATATAGCTGTCTGTTTATTTCTAAGATTCATATGCTTGAAATATACAAAAGAGGAGAGCATGCAAACTTTTTATTTTGTCAGATTATAAATTATTAAAGGGAAAAAAAAAAGAGCCATGGTAACCTGGAATGTGTTTTAAACACATAATGTTAAAACAGAATGTGGTTTAAACACGTAATGATAACCAAACCCCAATGACTACAGTAGGATAAACCAAGAGTTATGTTACTTTTGACAGAGATAATACTAATTTGGAAACTTGACTTAAAATGGATCTCTCTCTTGCTAGAAAATAGAAGTATTAAGACACATCAGTCTTAGAGTGTAGAAAACCTGAAGAGCCTGCTTCATGAAGGTATTGATAGCTAACATTTGACATAAGATAATATATTTCGTATCTCCATTATTTTAGAAAGGACTGTAGCATGTATTCCTACTTTATTTTTAACATAACAGCAGACAGGTGCCATTGTCATAAGAACCCTCTTTTAACTAATGAAGGAATAAAAATTTGCCATTAGGAAGCCATTAGTGATGTGAAGTGAGCCATATTGCAAATTCACTCAATCTGCAGTGCTGTGTTTAGCTTTGTTGTCCTTGATGGAATTTCTCACATCTACTTTTACATAGCATGGTAGTTAATGGTTTTAGAGAAAGTCACAAAAGCCCAGAGATGCAGAACTAAAAGAATCAGATAACCATTATCAACCCTAATTGATTTCATTGAGTTAAAGTCTTTTCAAGACAAAACTTATAGTAGTTATAACAAATATTAAGTCTCAGGACTGAAATAGATAGGCTGAGGGAAAAACACATCTCCAAGCACAAATTGACTTGTGTGATTTCATGTGTCCCCCCATATTTGAAACAATTGTAAAGCATATTTTTAAGCAGATGGAATGCTTGAATATAACATGTTGAACAATGCTGAAGTGTTGTGCTCTCAAATGGACAGGAAAATTATTATAAGAAGTTCTGTATATGCTCTTTTTTTTCTATGTATTTTAGTTATCATAACTAGACCCTTTGAGCCTAGAAAGTCTTCCCCTTAAGAAGAAGGGGAAGGTGTGGGTGTCTTATAAGTTATTTTCTTTTTCCTTTTTTCTTTTTCCTTTTTCCTTTTTCCTTTCCTTTCCTTTTTTCTTCTCTTTTTTTTTTTTTTTTTTTTGGCAGGTTTTCTCTTTTGTTTTTGGGGTTGGCTGGCTTTTTGGGGTATTTTTTGTATATACACATATGGATATAAATACTTGTTAATAGTCCTAATTGCTTAGGTGGTATCAGACCTTAAACCTCTCTTTGGCCTAGGAGTGAGTTTCATCTGTTCAGAACATCATTTTTAGCCAAATATACTTTAAAAGCATGAAGGATAATTTTGAAACTTTAGCAGTGGCCTCGATAGGCTTGAGATTATATTGCAAGAAATCAACATCTCCTTTGATTATCATGGTGCAGTGGTTGCATTTATGACAAATATTCCTGTGCATGCTTCTGCATTCACTTACCTGTATTCTCTCTCTTTCTGACACGAGCACATATGTGCATGTAGACACAAACAACTACATTACAGTTTAGGTAGTTACTTGTGAGTGGCCATGAGGTAGGTTCTGTAGCATACTTGTGTAAAATCTATCATAATTCATCAGAATACAGAGCAGTACTCTAAAACAGAGTGGCAGTAATAATGTTCTTGCTGCTCTCCTAAGGGCATTGCATGCAGTAGGTGCTATTACAAGATCAGGCCTGTCTTCACAATCCTGCTGCTGCGCAGGAATTTTTGGCTGTAAAACTGAAAGGCTGTAAAATACCTTTTTTGCTTTAAATATATGCTTTTCTCATTTTACTTTTATTTATTACAAAATCTTGTGAGTAAACTAACATCGCTAAAAAAGCTTTAAAATACAGAGAAAATTTATGGAGATAATGCTGTTGATAACACTTTATTATACAGAAGGCCTTTAGAGGGCACTGTTTCCTATTTTTCTTCAGAAATACATCTTTAAAATACAAAAACTGATTAAGCGGTAACCTCTGGATATATACAGTGTGTATGGAAATAGTGCAGTATTATTGATACTATATACAGAGTTCAGAGATGTTTGTAGCAAAACAAATTTTCTTCCTGTGTTTCAGCATGTATCAGTAACTTAATTTTGTAGTATACTAAGTGTTTAGAATTCTTACCCAGGCAGTCAGGCTAGTGCACTTTGCATTGTATTGCAGTTAAGTACCTGCGAATAGTTGTTTACAATGACTATTAATACTCATCAGAAGAGTTGAAAAACATGGGTGAATTTCTGGGTCCATGTGTGAACGGGGCTCTAAATAGCTGTATTTTATAGTCCTTCGAGGGGTTTACCTCTTGGCTTGACTATAAATTCTGAGGTCTCATTTAATAAATTTGGCATACAAGAAAGCATATAAAGCATATTCAGTGAAGAAATGTTCCTGACATTTTAGTGGTGAGCCTCTATAGAGCGATAATGTATGATCAGGGACACTTTATGGCTTATTCCCTGGGCAAATATGTTCTGTTTATTCAGGGATAACAAAAGCCATGCACCTAACCTTGTAACATCCTGTAACATTTTAAAACCTCAGACTCTCCTTGACAGTCGAGCGAGGAATCAATTTGATCATTGTGCTTCTGCTACTCAAAAAGTGTCAAAACCCAAAGTAGTTTTAGTACATACTGATAGCAGGTTTGGATATCTGATACTAGACAGGCTTTTTTTATATTTAAAAGTACTTAAAAATCAGTGGCTACAATCTCACGTGGTTACTAATAGACATACAAGGTAATTAGTAGGGTTTTTTTTAAATATTATTGACCTATGGAACACTTTTAATCCGCCTTCGCTGATGGGGCTTTTTTAAGCTTCAGCACAACAGGATTTATTATTTTTTATTTTCTAATTACTTATTGCCTAATGTCTATTGTGGTGTAGGTTCCCATCTGAGATATCTTCCTTTGACTTTCTGCCTTCTCTACTAAGTATGTGTTATCTTCTCTCCCTTTCCCTGAACATGCTCAGGGGCTTGCAGGGAAGCTTTTATTTCCCCATAATCCTCCAGATTGCACCAAAATGCAGTGTAAGACAGTCAAGACAACACAAATATTCAGCTTTCCTTCCAGGTAGTATATAATATGAACAAATAAAACAGATTGTCCATAATACTTCATGTCCAAAATGTTCAGGAAATTAAAAACTTAATTAACTGTGTTGCCTTAATTTGATATCATTCAGTGACTTTTTTTATTTCAAGATTTTGGGGTTTTTTTGGCAGAGATTTTTTTTTTATTCTGTGTAGTGTAGCTACATGGAAAAAAACTTGAGAGTTCTGTATCACAATATGGCCACCTATACGAAAATAAACTCTTTGAAGTGTTTTGACATCTATTTTTCATCTCAAGGGAAGCTTTTTAATGCAATTATTCCAAATTCATTTGCTATGCATCACTTCAAAACAGAGGAGGAGGTCAACATAAGTCTGCTGCTAGTTCAAACTCAGTGTGTTTTCATGCAAATATCTTTCTTGCAGGTGTTTACATTCTAGAGCAAAATTACAGATACTGAGAGAACTAAGGCAAGATACAACTGTATTAATACTGCACCTTGGCTAGTGAAATTGCAAGTTAAACTTTTATAGAAAAGTGGCGCATAGAAAATGGTATATATAAAAAAGTCATTAAACCTGTTCGACTGAAAAGTTAAGAAACACGTGTTTTCTTTCTGCAGGTGACAGAAAAAAAGCAAGAGTTAGAGAAATGCTTGAAATTGTCCCGGAAGCTGCGGAAAGAAATTAATGCCATGACAGAATGGCTTGCAGCGACAGATGCAGAATTGACAAAGAGATCAGCTGTGCAGGGGATGCCTAGCAATTTGGATGCTGAAATTGCCTGGGGCAAGGTAACAATGTAACACGCACTATACCTTTCTATGTCTCAGTTTATGCATATTACAGGAAGATAGATTTCTTTCTTGATAAAGAGAATAAAAAACCTGGCATTTTAATTAGTGGAACTTTTAAACTGTTAGGCATTATCTCTAATTATCTAATATCTCTAATATCATTACCCTAACATTAATGCTCAGAAAAGTTAAACCATCTTGTCTCTGCATATATCAATAGCACAATTCACTTTCATATTACAGTAATCTTCACCAAGGTGAATTTAAAGTTAGAATTTCATTTTCAGAGTGCTATAAATTATCTATCCAATAATCCAATATGCATGTAAATAGAGATCCATATAAATAGAGATCTTTTTCTCTCTCTGCCCATTCTACTCGAGATTAGAAAAGTATTACACGGTAAAACAGCTCCAGTGGATGAAAGGTAAAGGATGTCAGAACACTATATATATTCCACACATTCAGATAGTGGCCAGGAGGTGGGGTGTTCGTTTTCTTGCCCTTTTTGGTTTAGAACTCATTTGCTTTCATTCTGGGGGCTTCTTACTTCCATGGACTTCACCTTGAACTCTTACTTCAGGTTAAAACTTAAAGCCTAAAATGAAACTTTCCTCAAAATTACTACACGTTACGGTTCAGATAAACATCTTACAGAATCACTAAGGAATGCAAGAGTTCTACATCAAACTGCCTTATCTCTGTGTGATGGTGAGACTTAGCATGGTATCACTCAACACTAGCTAATCTATATTTATATTCTGCATATGTAATAAATCCAATCGAACTCAGAACATAAACCAAGCCAAGTCATCATTGTGCATACATACTAAAAAACTGTGCTTCAGAGGAAACTATGCTTGACATTATCCAAAGCTTCAAAATTTCATATGATTATGTGCAGCAAGCAGCATTTTGGATAAGTGTTCCCGTATAATTTCAAAATAAATTAAAAATCCCAAACCAAAACAAAAGACTGACCACAGACGGTATTGGTTTTTTGTGCAAAAATTTATCACTTCTGCTTTAATAGGAGTAATCCTTTATTTTACCAGTTTTACCATGCATTATAGAAATAGTTGTGAATAAAACACAGGCATTACCAATTTTTTTAAAGACTGCAGGTTAAAGGCACTGGAGTTAAATTCTATTTCTGGTTTGGGTTTTTGTTGGGGTTTTTTTTTTGTTTGTTTGGGTTTATTATTAATTTTATTTTTGTCTTTAACTGTGCCTTTCAAGCTTCTCAGCTTACTAAAATCTCTTTAGCACTGAAATGCACTGATGATTTACAAACTAATAATGAAAGAAAGTCTGTAAGTTTTTTGTGAGGTTTGCAATTGGGGATTTTTGGTCATCGGTCTCCAAGAATAACAAATTTTAAAAGTAGTATCAAAAAATATATAAAGATCAACTTTTGCTATTAGTATCTTACTGCTTTGACTATTGCTGCTTTGACTTTCAAATCAAAACCTCAGTCCCTGAAAAGAACATTGCTGCTTGATGTACTCTCATTTTCACTTGCTGCTTTTCCTGCAATAAAGTCTGTGCAGTTCCTCTCATTTCTTTTGATTGATAATGTGATCTTAACACCCATAATAAAGGACAAGTGTCAGATTTTTAAGAGACGGGTTAGATAATTGTGCTATTTTAATGCCACCAAACTAACCTGTCAGGTACTCAGTCCGTTTATGCAGTCATGAAAATAGAAATCATATTTGTTGGTGTTAAACTGCACAGTATAATTCTACTGAAATGGAAGTGTACACTCTATGTTCCTGCATGTGTGTTCAGGAAAGTTGATCCAGAAGTATATAGCTTCACAGCAGTTTAATTAGAAAGATTTGTCCTTAATGTCATTTACTTGTTAGATATGAACATTAATGCTTCAGAAGTTTCATAATTAGAACCTAAAGCCTGATGATCAGTGCAGTGACACAGTGGGAAGTCCTTGTTATGTCTTATGCTTGCTACAAAAAGTACAACATATTTTTATCTCATGATAATTGAAAAAATAACAAAAGCTAATTAAAATTAGAAATATCAACATGAAAAATATATCAGATGGGAACCACCCCACCTACTAATCTTAAAGAATGGCATTGAGTATTTTAAATTCTTACCAGGAACTGAAGGGTCGCAGGAAAAACTGGTAAGAAGCATATTTTGGCTTCAAATCCTGCCCAAGGCCTTCGCTGCAGTATAACCTTCTATAGTACCTCCACTCTTCTCCTTCAGTCAATTCATCACTAAAATAAGAATAAAAAACAACTTCGGGTGAGAGCAGCTTCCTCTTGTTGAAGTATGTATGTATTGAGTGTCTTTTAGAATTCCCTTATTTAGATTCCCTTTAGGCATTATAAGACAATGTTTTCATAAATACAAACACACTTTTAATTTTGAGCAATCCAACAGATAGTATAGGTGGCAGATCCTAGTCTTCTAAATGTAAGTATTTGCAGAAACTATGTAAAATTAGTATACCTGTTCATAAAGAAGCATGTATTACATACCGCATGTGATCCTGGACACTTAAAAATTCTTGTGAGGACTTCATAAATAAGCACAATACTGTTAGTCCTGTGTGGTTTTCATTGGGGCATCATACAGAGTTGTACATTAATAATTCAGTCCCCAGAACCAGGGTCTCACAGTATCAGATTAATGTCACAGCTTTGGGCTTTGGACTTCCTGGGTAAGTAGGCTGCCAAAAACAGTAACCAATCTAATGAAATGCACGGGGAGATGAATTAAGACCAGCAAATACCCATTGTGAGGAAAGTCTGCAGAAAAACTAAGATGGAAAATGGAGGGGGAGAGGGAAGTCAGTAGTGTGAATGAACTGAAAACTGAAGGTATGCTGCTGCTGACATAACTTAGCAGAGGGCTCATAATCTTTTTCCTTTACAGCATAAGGAAGCAGTTATATTTATTACTGCACTTATTTCTAATTGTTTTCAGAGCCCAAGACTTCTTAAAAGTGAAGAGAACGCAGAGGGTTTCAAAGATAATTATAGAGGATAGAATTAAAGAAAAAATCATACATGCAAACATTGGCTTCATGGTATAAACACCTAGAAATAAAAATGAATGTCTATCTTGAGTAGGAAATTATGTTAGCGAAACATAGCATTAATATGAATGTGAAGTGTATTATTTATTTATTCGTGTCTAGAATTTTTCTAAGGATGCAACAAAAACTTGGGTGAGTTACGTGAAATGAGATTGGCAGTATACTGAAGACTCTAAATCCCCTTTTTACTCAGTGGAGACAAGCTAAATCTTTCCACTTGAATTTGGTTCTGTTATAATAGATAAGAAAAATGACATGTGGGTGGAAAGATAGTCATTAAACATTGTATATTAGAAATCCTTTTATAATTAGAAGCCTGATTTAGTGAACGTATTTATCACTGAAGACGTTAACCACTGAGGGATTTATTTGTCTTTTAATCAGGAACTGGCCTGATAAGAATTAGATTGCCAGGAAACTGTTCTCAGAAAGGAAATAGCAGATGGTATTACTAGGAAAAGTACTGTATTGCTCCCTACTATCAGCAGTATGTGTCTGCCAGTGCTTTAACGATATTTTAGCACATTGTATAATACCAGTGAGTATAAAGTTGACTTGAAGTACTTAGAATTACATGAGCTAACACATTTAGCAACATATTTCCTGTCAGTAAAATCAGTAAAAGAAAATTATCTGCAAGTTGTGACAGTTGATTCATAGTCAGCGTCCAGAACGCAATAAAAATAAAAGATGTGCTGTGAATAAACAAAAATGTGTATAATCAGCCACTGAGAAGGCCATAATGTCGACTTCAAATTAATTCTGACATCCCACTCATTAGAGCTGAGCCACCTAATTTCTTTTAGAGAGGTTCAAATTGCGAAGATTACTTTCAAGGAGTCCATGGCACACAGATTGTGTAGAAGAGTAATACAGAACTTTTCTTCATTCAGCCATGCGTGTTTAATTTTTTAAAATCTACATATGTTAATGACCAGCACAACTAAGATCTTACCCTCTGCATTTAATCACAATTCTGAATTGTTTGAAAAAAACACCAGCAGTTCAACTTGGTACATGGTAGTTTTGCCATTATAAAGTATAGTTTAAAAACCATATGCAGCATGTCCTCAGGAAAAGCTATTCTATGTAGCTTCTGCTTTCAAATGTAATTCATTCCTAGTATTTGCTCATGTGAAGGAGGTTATGATTTTCACTCTCTTATGAAACATCAAGTAAAAAAACCCAAACCAACAAAACCAAACCAGTAGTTTTTGTTGGTAAACTGAAAGAGTATGCCACAGTACAGTGGGTTCAGAGAAAGGTGTAAACCCTGCTCAAAGTGCACAGGGAATGTCTTTTGTTCATACTGACATGATTCACCCTGTCATCCTATTGATCCATATGTAAAATGGAAAAAATACTTCTGTATGCACCTACAAACCTCAAGAATTCACAGTAAAGCTTATCCCCATGCCTTTCAACACTGCAAAGCAATCTCGTTTCTATCCAGGTTTCAAGACATCTGAAATTGTTTTTCTTAAATAAAGCTTTTTTTTATAACTACTATTTTATTTGAACTACAATTTATTTCCTGAGGCTTTGATGGTAGGGACTGATATAAGGCAAGCTCAGCTAGTCTTCTCACTCTCTCTCTGCTCCCTCTGGTGTTACCAGGATGGAGATTAGAAACTGGTCATCAGAGGCATCCTCCACATTTAACAGAGAAGGATCTGTCTGATTCCTTTCCTTTCCTGGGTGCTAGGAACCTATATGCCATTTATCTTGGAAACATTCAGCTCCTGGGGCTTCAGTGCAGATGTGATGTCCCAGTTTTGATTAAGGCACACTACCAGCATTTTTCTGAGAAACACAAGTGGGGAAAAAAAAAAAAAAGGTTTCTTTAAAAGATAAGGAAAGATTTAATTCAGTGAAATGCAAATGAATTTTTTGGTTCAAAGAATTTCTGTTGTGGTATCCTGTACCACATAGCTGTAACTGGTACTTCAAAAATGTGGAAGTACAAGAATTTCTTCCAAGGAGACATTTCAGAATTCTGTCTAACAGAAATTTGAACAGCAATTTGAGTGAAGAGATTGCCATCATCTTTAACTCTTGTATCTGCTAGTAGATGTGTTCCTACATGGAGGCATACGTAGAGAAGAGATATCAATGTGTGTATATATATTTATCTTTAATATATCTTTCCTGAAAGTATTTGTGGAACCTTTGTCTTCCAGCAGGCAATACACACTTCAATAAATTTTTGTTTTGTAAATAAATAGACTAGTCCTAAGGGGGAAAAAAAAAAATAATATAATAACTATAATGATAAATGACAGAGTGAATGTAATTTGTTTTAAAGCACTGTTGAACACTGCTGACAAATTTTCACAGCTGTAACTGAATTCTGGGTGTTATGATACTTAGTTCAACCTTTTATTTACACATTTGTGTTCCCCCGAAAGGGCATGTGAGATTGAATCAGAAAATTCCCAACTTCTAATAGGTTTACGTAGTTTCTTTATGTTACATTTTTTCATCCTGATAAACACACAAAATCAAAGTGTATAAATCGCCTAGACCTTCTGGGAAGAATTTCACCACTTTATTTGTTAATGTTTCATAATTAACCCATTGTGGTGGTGTTTGGGATTTAATTTTTTATTTTTTTTTTAATAAAGGCATTGGATGTTTTAAATGCCATTCTTTTATTTTAGACTCATACTTTTGATTCTGTAGTTAAAAATTAAAATTCTACATCTTTCTTACCTATTTTTAAACTGCACAGCTGAAATGCAATATGATGTTAGGGCAACCAGAAGGGAGTTAAATACAGCAAGACTGGTTTTGGGTTTTTTGTTTGTTTGTTTTGGTTTGGTTTTTTTTTTCCCTTGATTTTTAAATGTGCTCTTTTATTTCCCAAGAACAGCCAGGGAATGGTGGTAAGTGAAGACCAATTCACTGAATATTGGAACCTGAGAAGGAACTGAAAAAAAGTTGTTAGTTTACCAATACCTATTATACCATACAGAGGAGGTCATAGCTGATCTTGCAGTGTGGAATCCTGCTGTCTTTTCAGACCCTGCTGTTTTTAAAGTTGTATTGAGTAGGTCTAGGATTTTATACATAAGAATTTTGAATAATTGAGATTTGAAGTGTTCCAGAAGATGGCTTTTACACTTTGATGCTGTGTTGAAGGCCTCAGTGTTTTTTTTTAAGAAGGTGGGGAGAAATGTTATTGTTTACTTGCCTCATTGGTTATTTATGTCCCTTACTTGGTAATACACAAAAGTGTTAATATAGGTGCATCTAGTGTGGTTATTTCTTTACTTTGAAAGGGAAAACTCCTGGGATCAGGCAAAGAACTATTACATTTTGTTACACATACAGAATTACACATCCTGCTTTTGGGTAGTAGCAGTTTTATTACATAGACATTTAATTAACCAGTCCGTCAATTTACATTTCTAATTAGGATTAATATTTATATATGGATAGATCAAGATTGATCTGAGTTTTTATATACATAAAATACAAAGGAAGCTACAATCCATAGTAAACATGCTTCAGAAATTCTTTTCCAAGTTGAAGTTGTTCAGAAAAGATAATCAAGCTGATCAATATTTTCCATATTCTTTGCCTCATTTTTGTTTATGATGACATTTTGTACCTGCTGTGAAACAGAAAAAATTGTACTAGAAAAGGGCATGTTTTTCCTTTAATCTGACAAGAACATGTTGAAATTTGAAACTCTCCATTTCAAATTCTATAATTATGTATTTTCTAGTTAATAATTTGCATTAATCATGTCTTGATTCTATTACATAGCCTGTGTATTTGAAAAAATTTGTAGAATGTGAAAAATAGTCATACATGAAATGCAAGTGTAAAAGCTTTTCTGTGAAATAACATTACAAAATCAGATCGTTAATTCTATTTAACATAGAAAGTGAGCTGCTGCTTTAAAACATAACATATGCCAACTTGGAGGTACTATTAAGACTGTACTGTACCAAAAAAAAAAAATAATTTCTGTGCTGTCTTTACTGCAAACTGAAAATTGTACTTTCCTAGCAATGGAATTAGCAACAAAATTATACTGATGTGTGACTGTGAGAGGTGTGATAGGGTGGAGGATAGAAAGGTGAGGTTTTATGCAGTAAAAGTGTTGATCCTGAGATGGAAGAATTGTGATTGCAGTTTGACTAGAAGTGGTTCTTCTTTTAGTGTATTCAAGTTATCTTTGAGAAATCAATGTCTCTGGAGACGAGTGATTCTTACTTTTCTCCTGTTTGTGTTCAGTTTGGACGATTTAACTTCTAGTTCAAGCTTTATTTTATAAGCAGAGATCATATATGCCTGGATCATTTCTATCAGGTGCGAAGGAGCTCAGATAAATTTCTCTCATAAAAATGGTTATAGGTAATATTACGTGTATGGAATTTGTGCCTCTCCTTAAGTATTCAGCAAGATTGTTGTATTCTGCATTGTGTCATAGCATGTTGCAACAAATATGAAGACATAATGAGTAAATTATATTAGCTGACATATCATTTAAAGCTATTTATATAAGGTAAGATAATAGTGGGAGGAGATGCTGGAAATCTGATCTTGTATATGTATTTTAGTCATTCAAGCTTAGAGATGTTGTGAACAATAGCTTATTTTACTAATTTAGTTCTCAAAGTGAATCCCATGTGACTGTAATAAAAAGATGCATTTCTACAATTAAGAAACAAGAAATCTTACAGGAGATAAGAACATGGTTTCTGCTGAAAAAGATTTCATTGGAAAATATTAAAGGAATATTCAAATATTTCACTAGAGTATTTTCAATGGAGTTCTCCAAGTCTTAAAACGGCATGACGATGTTTTATTATTGTTCCATTTATTATGTAAACTTTATGTGCTATTTGATAACTGTGCCCCTTTATTATATGCAAAGTAACTTCACAATATAAATATCGTAAAATGTGGATTCTTGTTTACTAATTAAGTATTAAAACAACAGTTTGAGCACTGGAATGAGAGATAACTTACAGTTTTTAAAATTAAACTACTACGAAAAAATATTGTGAGGCTATGGAGAACATTTACAATTTTGTCAGAGCTACAGAGGAACAAGTTGCTTTAAACTTACTGCTCTTCACAGAATGCAGAAGTAAGAGTGTGTATTTTAGTGTGAACTTACTGGCTGTTTAAATATGTCATGTTCTTAGTGTGGAGAATTCTTCATTTCCTGAACTTTTATTTTTTTATTCTGCTCATGTAGGCAACACGGAAGGAGATTGAGAAACGCCAGGTCCAACTTAAAAGCATCAGTGATTTAGGAGAGAATTTGAAGACAGTACTGAAAGGAAGGGAAAGTCTAGTGGAGGACAAACTCATCCTCCTGAACAGTAATTGGATAGCAGTAACGTCACGCGCTGAGGAATGGTTCAATCTGTTACTGGTAAGAGAAACACACTTGTTCAGAGGAGACGTTGGTGCTCAGTCATAGGTGCTTAGCCTTACAGGAGTGCTTTTTCTGGTGCCTTGGACTATGCTTATTCAATACGTAGGTACACAGACAATCAGATTGATTGTCATTTAGGACATTGTTTATATTTTAAGAATCTGACTGCTTACTGAGTGATGGCTCTGTCCAGCCTTGATTGTTAGTGCTTCCCATTCCTGTCTGCCACAGTAGTTCTGGGATTGTTATATTTTGTTTTGGGTTTTAGTTGGAGTTTTATTGTTGGGTTGGTTTTGTTTCTTTTCCTAATAAATGAAGTGCAGTTTATTTCTGATGACCTAGACTACTTAAATATGAATCAAGTGAAAGAAATAGTCAAATAAGTTGAGTAAGTCTTGGTATTCATACCAACAGACTCAGCTACATTTGGCTACATTAGCATTTCTGTTTGAACAGTACAGTCAGAACATAAATTCCTGCTTGCGTGTTGGTTTGGTCCACAAAACACTAATTTCAGATGCAAATGGATCAGGAGCCCTGCTCAGGGTTCACATCTGATGTGCTCAAGGACTATGATTTGGTCTTTCAGAACTGCATGATCGTCCTTTGGATAGCTTTATAGTGCATGTTTTGGCAGGGATAATTACTTAAGGGGACCAGATTAAGCCTAGTCAAAATTAAAATGCATAATACACATTTAGTATGGATGCAGGAGCCTCAGCCCCAGCTGCTTTGTACTGCTTATATTGACATAATTGTATTATCCCTTAAAATTCGTTCTGTACTGATGACATCCTGAACCCTTAAACACAGAAGAATCTTAACAATCAGCCTGTGAGAATGCTTTGGGAAATCTTGGATGCTGTTTCTGTTGCTGAGACCATTGGAATGCAGTTTCAACCCAGAAAAACTGCACTCTCAATGTTCTCAAGTGTGTGTTAGCCTTTATCATGACTTTTCAGAGCTTGGTGGATTAAAGCTCCACTCGAGTCTGTGTGGCTACATTAAAATGCTTCTGCAACAGATGTACAGCATCACTACAGGGCTTCTTTAGCTGTATACAATATACAAGTGAAAGTATCTGGAAAACTTAAGCATTTAATCCAATATGATGTAGGCGCTCAGATTAAATGTGAAACTATAAGAAACATGTAATGGACTTTATAGTCTGGTATAGTTATACATTCCTTTAATTTCTCTCTTTCTCTGCTTTGGATTCTTTTGTTAATATTTTCTAGAACCCATGATAAGAAAGTTTAAGAGAGAGATTTGGTCTTGTACTGACATTAAAACAGTGTAAAATAAAGATATATAGATGTGAAGATCAAAAGGACTAGTAAAATCTTTGATCTCAGGTGTGTGGTACACATATGTATGGTGTGGATATGCATAGGCCTCATTCTAGTCAGCACACCAAAAAAGACAAAATGTTTTTAAATTAAGTGGGGGTGGGGGGTGGGGGGTGGGGAATCAGAATGTCAACTAGAATAGTTTTTTAAAAAGCAGTCTCGAAACAGGAAAGTTAGATGAAATGTAAATAAGAGTTTTAGATACAAAGCTCCTGTTCTTGATTGTGACTTGCAAGTGCATCCTTGTTACCATGAGTTTTAATCAACTTAGTGGCTTTCCAAAGTGAATTCTGTACCTGCTTCTTGGGAAACTCTTCTTTCCATCTTCAGTAGGTCTGGCTATCTGCTTCCTGTTCCTCTCAGCAGTCTGGCTAAGCTGCAGACACCTGCATCTTGCTGTGATTTTATCACCCTTCTGCCTGTCTCTTTGGAAGCTTATCTTTCTCCTAGAATGTCTTTTTAAGGGAAGTTAATATATAAAGTCATTGCAAACAAACAGATTCTGTCCTTCACAAAACAAGAAGTTGCTGTGTAAAATAAAAAAGTTTAATTTCATAACGTGTGCATGTTTGCCACACTGAGCATAATTACAGCTATTATTTCAATTCTGATTACTTTTTTTGTATGCAGTATTTACCTTTTCCACATTGCAGGAATATCAAAAGCACATGGAGGCTTTTGATCAGAATCTAGCTAATGTCACAACTTGGATGTATCGTGCTGAAATACTGTTGGATGAATCTGATAAACAAAAACCCCACCAAAAAGAGGAAAGTCTTAAGGTAAAAAAATGTGATATTCTGAAAACCATTAATTTTATTCTAAAAAGACTGTGTCAAAACTAGCATATTTGGAAAGGTATCACAAATTGATTAACATTTTTTTCTGTGTTAAAGCTACCCTCTGGCAGCTTGTAGATTACTTAATAAATTTGCACTGCATTACAGAAGTTAAATCCCTGCAGAAATAAAACAAGATATGTTATTATAAATCTTGGGGACTTCCTGGTGAGTAGAACAGCAGCTTATTAAACCTCTGTTTGCTGGAAAAGACTCCTTAAACACATCTGGTTGAACAAAATCCTTTCTTCTGTGTTCTTCATTTTTTATGTGTTTTCTTTTTTTCTTTGATACTTTCCTAATGTTTATGGTATCTGCATTTGATATCTGTGTGATATAATTGTTTTAATTCTACAAACACTGTTTGCATTCATGCCAGAACACCACCATACTAGCTGCATAATAATGGATTAGTGTATTGATCAGAAGTTGCAAGATGGGAATTTTAAACTATCTCATTTTAAATACCTCCTTTGTTAACATTAAACAACTTCAAAAAGTTATCTATATGGATTGGTTCTTTTCTTCCTAAATCACTGTGAAGTTTTACTTTGTATTGAACTCCATGGTCAGCACATACCATCTGAAGAACAGTTTGCAAATCAAAATCAGAATTGTTTTGCTGACACTAACATAATGATACCATTTACTAAGGGAAAACTTTACAAATTCCAAGTTAGAGCATAAATCAATGCCTCATTCATCTCAGCAGGATTATGAGACACACTTGTAGTTGAATGAACAATTTTGCCACCATCAGGTAAAAAGTACAATTATCATTGCTATCAATACAGTTATGTATGTTTGTATTTCACAAAGGCATTTCATACAGGCAGTGAAATGTAATTTTTAATGTCCAATACTTGTTTCTGATTCCTGAATGCCCGGCTATGGTTTTCAGTCTCTGCCCGTACTGGGATCTACTGTTTAAATTACTATGGGAGAGGACAAGATATTTTTCCTCTTTTTTTTTTTTTTTTTTTTTTTTGTTATATGTTGATTTATATGCATATCTTTAATTTGTGATAGATTTATAGAAAAATATTCCCACTGGTTTTTATCTATCTGGTCAATTTTCCCTGCTACAGCTATGGCCATAAACAGAAATGAAAGCAACAGCTATACATCCAGCTCAATAATACATGAATTAGCAGCTCTCCCTAGCAGTAGGAACATAACATAATTTAGCATATCTTGAAATGTGCTGAGGATTGTATTATTGCGGGTAAGAACCTGCCTAGAAATAATGTTCATCATTAATTTCCACTAGAAGATAATAAAACAGACATGTAAATACATTCCTTCTATAAATTTGAGGGATACGAGTGGAAATGTTATCTAATGGGTTTCTACTGGATTTACACGCTCATGCGTAATTATCTGAATTTGCTTTGGTTTTGCTCCCTATTCCTTTGCACACTTTCTCTCTCTCTCTTTCTCTCTCTTTGCATTTATTACTAACTTCAAGCCCTGTCTCTTGCTCACGGACTGTAGCGCTTAAAGGCTGAGCTGAATGATATGCATCCAAAGGTGGACTCTGTGCGTGACCAGGCAATAGACTTGATGAGAAACCGTGGAGACCACTGCAGGAAAGTAATAGAGCCTAAACTGTCAGACCTCAACCAGCGCTTTGCAACTATATCACAAAGAATTAAGAGTGGAAAGGTAGGAGGACTTGCTTCCATACAGAGATGCATACAAAATGGTATCTATGTAAGGTGCACAATTACAACTATATAGTGAGCTGCAGTTTTTCTGAAACCTAAGCTTTTAATGGAAAAAAATGTAGATGTTCAGAATTATTTTATTTATTTTTTTTAAAGTGTGTTTTAGCACTAAAGTCATCTTTCACTGCTTCAGAATTAGAAGTATTCGCTGACCTTATATGAATTTAACAATTACTTCAGTAGTTTACAAAGACTGAACAACACCTGGGAAATTAGCAAGATTCTTAATCTTCTTAAAGTATGAGTAGCCTTTATTTACATACATTGGCTTTTGAGGGTTAATTTGTCATTAAATGAGTCTTTCCTATGAGGCTGTGACTCACCAAGTTTTGAGATAGAGATCAATCATTAGATAGATTATTTAAATTATACTCCAGCTACTTACCTGTACAACTAGCTTGATGACTGAATCTGAATACATATTGAATCCATACTGAATTCAGTATGGATTAAGTAGTTTTTAGCCAAATTGTGACTTCTGAATTGGAATGATGATTGAAAGACATAAACCACCTACTTTCTCCACTGTATTTGCTGCCTTTACTGCAGAGAGCTATTCAGCAGATTTTAAAGCGGTCAGCCATGAAGGTTAGTATGTGGGATAACGGGAATGCATGGATCCTGATCCTAACTATTTTTGCTGGCTACTTTAATAGCAGTGGAAATGAATGCACAGAGGATCAGTGACAAAGCCGGAAATAAGTTTTGCAGAAAGTATAAGCAAATAGACTTGGTTTTCGTGAGTTATTTTATGCAGGGGTTTATGCAGGGCTCAATACCCTGTGTAACGAGCACATTCTTTATGGATATTTGAGTTTGTTTAGGTTTCGTTTCTGGAATGGAAAAATATATATCCTACGAATAAAGGTCTGGTTTTTTTTTTTCCTATTTGTTATTAGCAGCACTTGAGCTGTTCCAATGTGCTTCTCACTTACTTCTTGTACAAGAACTGTAGACCAAGAATATGTTGGCACAAAGCCCAAACAACTGTGTTGTGTTATGTTTTATTCTGTACATCTGCTATCTGCACTTTGGATTTCCTTCAGTATTCTGAACATCTGCTATCTGCAGTTTGGATTGTGGAAGTGCAGCTTTACCTTGCACTTCCACAATGCTGTAAGCATACAGGGCTGATGCAGCCTTTGGTAGAGTTGTGTGAAATTATTGCTTGTCTTAGGGAAAAATGGGACTGACTGTAGATGCCTTATCATGGGTTAAGTGTTTGCATTGCATGTTGTGGGTTCACTCACAGAAGGGGGTATAGATGATTGGCAAGATATATGAAGTGTCTTCAGAACACTGCAAACTGCTTCCACCTGGTAACTTTCTCTCTCTGGTGTTCTCCCACTTATGATATTATAGGCAAGATGACTGAATAGGCTGCTGGAATGGCAGCACCTCACTAAGCTTTATACACTATATATTTAGCAAGATGAGAAGAACTACTACAGCACATAATTTTAATGGTAAATTAGAATTTAGGGAACCTTTTCCAGGACCCTGGGGAATGGACAGCTACAGAATGATTCAAAAAGGATATCCATTGTAATAGGTATTGCGTAAGATACAGAGGCAAAAGTTTGTCTGACCTCTTGGTGATTCTACTGAATTGCTTTATACATTGGGCTAAAGGACTAAATTGCTGCGTCCCTCATTTTGTCCACCTGTATAATGTAGGTAACTGTACTTCCATTAGTTATAATTTCAGCTTCATGGGCTGAAATATTATTATTCTTACAAGCTGATATTATGCTTCCTAAGTGTTTTGAGAGGGTTTCTTGTGGTTTGTTTTTTGTTGTTTTTTTTTTTTTTTAGGTCAAATTATTTGCTTTGTGAACAACAGATTAAAAAATAAATTCAAGAGGATAATAAGGTCTCATAATCTATTTTCGATTAATTCACGTCTGTTTTCAAATTTGCTATAATTTTTCAAATACGAACAATTATCAGTACATCAGTGATGTAAAAAAGAAATGACCCGTGAAGCCTGTAAATGGTAGTACATAATTGTTGTGTCCCAGATTAATAAAATAATCATAGTATACTAAAATGAGATTTAACATTTTCAAGTGGTCTTTGAATCTCATTCAATTATTGGAATTTCCTTTAGTATTTTTCCTCCCCTTTTTCTCTTTGTTATTGTTCTTAGCATTTTCATAGACTAGTAATTTTATATTCCAGCTTTATTACTTGATTTGCCTTTCAGTGAGACTTTAGTATTTTTGAAGACATCCTTCAGAGCATTTGAGAATCTGTGTAGTTTGCTATAATTTCTACCACAACTTAAAGTGCTTGCTGAGTGTAATTCTGAGATTCTTGATGAAAATTTGCTAGCACAATATTATTCTCTACAAATATCATGTGTTACTACATTTCAATTAATGTTCATAAGCGTTCAAAATTTTTGTAATTAAAATGACCAACCAGCTAAAATTAAGGCATTTTTACTGTAATTCTCCCCAGGTCATCTGTGGAACAGCTGAGAATAGATTACAGCTGATGTCCAGTCGCTCTTGTTTTAACTGCTTTACTTTGATAGTTACCATATTCATTAAAAACATTTTGATTATAATAAATACCAATTGTACTGGAGGGAAGAGTAAGACAGAACTGAGTAGAATATAATGTGCTTATGTCTTAGCAAGAAGATAGTTGTATGTCCAAGAGTTTCTAGAACATCATAAAGCATTAATTATCTTTAAATTTTATGCAAGACTCATCAAGAATCTGTTGCTTATTCCTGAGTTTAAAGCTTTGAAAGAAGAAAGCTTTTTCTGTGGATTCTTAGCAATGCACTTTTTTGAAACACAAGCGCTTTTGGTGAAGTTTTATTGATTTTATTTTTTTTTTAAGATGTTACAAAATACTGTTAGGGAAGTATATTACACAGAGATTACCTGTCTAGTTTTGTATAATTCACCTGGAATTTTTGCTATTCTTTGTGAGACAGCAGTGATTTCAAAACACAGAAACAAATTATTATGTTTTGTTTTCTCAATTGTTAGCAGTAGATAGGTTTTCATATGAATGGGTTGCTTGTTGCTGTGTAATTTCTGAAAAACTAGATTTAGCCAAATAGAGTCCACATTTCATTTTGTAGACAAATCATTGTTATACTATTTATCTGAAACTGTTCTTACACACAAATGTGAGAATATAGGAGCTGGGGTTTTTTGTTTATTTGTTTTGTTTTGTTTGTTTGTTTGTTTTTAATTTTTGGTCACCATAGAATGCTTATGTTTTCTTACATGGAAACTCTACAGTACTGTTAAGTACCTGGGTACTTTGAGTCGTATGGTCTAGATACTTTTCAACATGATGGAAGTCTACCATTGTTTTAGAAAAGGGGGTAGAACAGTTGTCTCTTTTCATTTATGTTTCTAATAAAACTAAGTATATGATTTAAATAAATAAACTTTGTATTACTTCCATTCTAGCCTTTCATTCCTTTGAAAGAACTGGAGCAATTTGACTTTGATATACAGAAAATGCTTGAACCACTGGAGGTTGAAATTCAGCAGGGCTTGAATCTGAAAGAGGAGGACTTCAATAAAGACATGGTAATTTGGTTGAAATGGAAATCTGAATGAAGTAGTCAGGGAGATGACGACACCTGAGTGAAAACTAGAAACTTCCATATTTGTGTTAGGATCTTTAGATAGAGCTAGGACAAAAATTTTACTGTGCTAATATATTATCAAAAGTCCTAAGTTATCATTAACTAAAAGGTTTACTGATAAATTAATTGTTAGTTTATAAGAAAAACATTTTTCAACCCTTGTAAAATACTAAGCAAACCAGAAATATTATTTACAGGTCCTATACTACTGCCAGCAATATTACTGAATATGGAATGAATATTAAAATATCTGTAGCAGTATAAAGACCAAGAAAACTCATAATGATGTGTCTAAATGGGCGATATAGTAAAAGATGTTCACTAAGAACAAATGCTAGGCAATGATCATTGAAAGAAATGTCAGTTGCCAATTAGTTCTTAATCAATCTGATTGTACTATTTATTGTGAATGGTTTTTGTGGCTGTGGTAAGCCTTATTACTCACATTTCCTTGTTGCAAGTAGAAAACCTTTTATGCATATTGGTGGGGGGAGAAAGAAACAGAGGAGTAAAATACTGTTGTTCTGTGCTATTACTGCCACTGTGGTGTGTTTTCCTCAGAGTGATTTTTAGAGGGATGACATTTCTTGGCTGGGCAATAACACAGATTCTTCTTTAGGACCCTCTCTAAATGAGTCCTCAGCAAGATCAGATAGATATTTCTTTACAAGCAATATAGTCAGTATTCTTTTTACATTTAAGTAATTCTTCAAAGCTAGCTATTTTATGTCAATGCTGATATGAATCTTTAAAGGAGTTTTTTCTTTTTATTTATGCAGGAAAAGTAAAATATAAGACAGTATGTATTGCAGTGGTAAATTCTAAGTGAGTCAAGTTTGACAGGGCAGTTTGCACTACTTAGGTATATTTTGTTCCCTTTCTTTACATAAAATGTTTAGTGCGCTTCAAGAGAAACACTCGCAGAAGCTGTGGCATAGATTTAACTTCTATGTAAAAACTACTTAGTGGTATTGTTTTGCCTGTCAGAAAAGCTGTTTTGCACTGTGATGATACAAGAAACAGTCAGGAATTATGTGGTCTGCTAGCATACTGGCAATTTCAGTAACTACTGACAGTGATTTAGAGTATTTTAGATATATATATTATTTTTTAAGTAAAATATATTTTACCTTTTTGCCTTTGATGTTTTCATCCCATTATCCTGGTTGCTGCATAAAATCTATATCAAACATCTGTAGGTTTTCAGGTGATGTTTTACGTGTACCCCTCAAGTGTTTATATGTATTGTAGAAAGCAAGTAAAACAAATTTTGGCTTCAGTGTAGAACTGCAAATGGCTATTAGATGATTACCTTAGAATAGAAAGTGTAGTTTTATATGTCTGTATCTCCTAGTACTTAAGTAATAATTAGATTTAAATGCCTATTTTACTGTTTTGGGTTTTTTTGTTTTGTTTTGTTTTTAAATAAGAGTGAAGAAGATGAAAGCACAGTGAAAGAATTGCTGCAAAGGGGAGACACACTTCAAAAAAGAATCACAGATGAGAGAAAACGGGAGGAAATAAAGATAAAACAACAGCTGTTGCAGACTAAACATAATGCTCTCAAGGTATAGGAGCTACAATTATAAGCACATGCTACTAAAACCATTTTTGTATAAATTTCAGGGCATTGTTCTGTTAAGTGAATCTTCATTACTATTTAGAAATGAGTATTTGACTATAAATATGTATTTTCTTATATTCTTCTCTTGATGCCTTGGAAAAGACATTTTAAATCTCCATATTAACAAGTATGTTTTGTCTTCAGTGTTATGACCATGTGATTGCCAGTTGGACAACAATGATTTCTTTGATAGTAATTCCTTCTTTAACACATTATGCATGTTTTATGTTTCTCCAGCAGCAGTCTAGAACTTAGAATCAGTTCTCACAAACTTACATTTTTAGTTAACATTTCTGGCAATGAGTAAGTTATTTTATCCTTTAGTAAAAGATTTACATGCTATGTTCTTTAGCGGGAAAAGTGGCTCCAGCCTTTCTGGGTAGGTGGTAGTGCCAATAGACCTAGGAGCTAAGAGGTTGAAAACCAAAGTCATGTATCAGAATTTTGTGTTACCATACTCCTGGAGGTATATCTATATGATACTGTTCCTAGAAATATCCACAGTGAGACCTATTTGGACAAGCTTGTAGTTATAATTGGGAGTGTCATTATCCAGGGAAAAATAAAAGTGAGGAAAGAAAGAATCTTACAGTTGGAAAGTTCACCTTGGTCACCTACCTGGAGCTGTAGGTTCTGGCTCTTATAGAAGAATTTTTCATCTATTGGCAGGCAGAATTCTTCTCTCTTTTGAAAATTTTTATTCAGTTCTTGTTTTGGTGAATGTGACATGGTTAGACTTTACTATTACTTATTTTTAAGCAGCACCTTTCCTTTCCTGTGGATTTCATTCTCATTTTTAGTTTTGCAGATCTGATTGAATTCAGTAAAAGAATAGTTTGAATATGCCTTTGTTTTGTCCACATTTGAAAGAAACTTAAAATGTTAAGTGTGTCTTTGACTATTCCAAGTTAAGTAGAAGTAATTAACAATTTTTGTGGAGGAGAAGCAAAAAAACTGTTTCTAGAACTATGCTATTGACCAAATGCTTACTGGCTGTTTTTATGGAATACAGTGTTTGATTTTCCTTTGGGTGACTCAGTTAAGGCATTCAACCTTTTCAAGTAAAATTCGAGAACAGTTGAGGCAAATTCATCTGAGTATTTTTATATAGAATGTACCAGCAATTTTTTAGTTTACTTCTTAATAAGAAGTGAGAGGATTGAAAATATTTTCTGAATTTTGTATGAGCATATACAAAATTAATGTTAAATGCAGTTAAATGCAAATGGAGTATATTTAATAATATTTCTATGAAATAAAATAACTTTTTTTACCTTCCTTTTAAAGTTTTAATATTTTTATAAAGCTGAGTCATAAACACAAGACATTTGTTATGTAAATTGTATTTAATTTAGAAGAAAGAAAACTGTCTGTGCATACATTTCAGCATTGAAATTATTTTCTTTTGAATAGTTACATAGTTTGCATGCAGGCTAGAATTTCACAGGAGACCAGAAAACACAGGAAGCCCGCTTATGGCTAGATACTAAGTGGGCTGTGTTTCCATCTGTCCAGTAAGTATTCTGAGCAGAAGTGTTTTATATAAAATGCTGACATTTATGTAAGAGTCTTAATTTCTCTGAATATTGATGACTGTCTCAGTGGTTTATTCAACATGTGAACAACCTTGAATTAAGTAACATCCTTTAAAAGAAAAAAAAATATGAAAATATGCTGTGTTTGGATACTTATATGCTGTTAAACTTAAGAAAATATGCAGTGTTGTGATACTTGTAGACTTGATTTAAATATCAACATTTAATTAAAAAAAATAATGGCCTTGTGCACATTTTTTCCCTCAGTGTGCATACATGCCAATTCATATTTTAAAAGCCTTTAATTCATATTCTAATAATGTCTGCACTGTGAACAGGACTTGAGATCTCAAAGAAGAAAAAAGGCTTTAGAGATTTCTCATCAATGGTATCAGTACAAGAGGCAGGCTGATGACCTAATGACATGGCTGGATGACATTGAGAAAAAGTTAGCCAGTCTACCAGACCACAAAGATGAGCAGAAGCTAAAGGTAATGTTGTTTTGGGATGGAAATGGTAGATCTTTTGAGTGATAGTTTATTAAATTAACAGACAGCAAATGCAGCAAATATTCCAATAGATAGTTTCGTTCTTCATTTCTATAGTAAAATGAACCCTAATTATCTCTGTTCCGACATTTCTTTGTTGTACTATATCTTGTATTTGGTTTTTTTACAGAATATTATATAAATAATTTGAAACACACTAAATAAAATGTTTTGTCAGTAGTATGGGAAGTGTGTGATATATTAAGAAGCATCAAATGTTTTCTAGTAAAAATTTTAATTGATTTTATGTATCTTTGTTCCAGATGAACAAATGACTTTCCGATATATGGATGACCTCTATCTCATGTTAGCACATTCATTTTCATCAGAACATATTCATATGTCACTGTCAAACTCTATAGATTTATTTACATACTGTCAAAGGTTTTCCTAGTTTATTTTGCATCGTCTTTCTTTGCTTCATTCTCTGTTGAGTTTCCCACAGAGTAAAATAGGAGTTAAGTAATATTTTAAAGAATCAACTGATATATTTGTAACCCATCCAAACACTATTTGTCCTGAATATGCTGACCCCTATTGAGAAAAGAATTTCTCCAATTGCCCATCAAAGTGTACTACCAAGAATCTGAAAGTTTAAACTGTTGGCCTTTGCTAACCAGTTTTCAGTGTGGACTAGCTGTTGATATCTCTACAGCAAATCTCCAAGGAAGTTCTTCAATTTCTGTTAATTTTGTTTTGTTTAAATGTAAAATAAGACATGAAATAGCAGTAAATTTTACTTGTAAGAATAAAATGGAAATGAAGTTTCTGACAGAAGTATTTTGCTACTTTTAAGTTGATTGATTTAGTTAGCTAACTGTCCTGGGCCCTGTATTGGTTTTGCTCACTAGGAGATTGATGGAGAATTGGAGAAGAAGAAGGAAGATCTGAATGCGGTGCACAGGCAGGCTGAACGCTTGTCTAAGGATGGGGCTGCAAAAGCAGTGGAACCAACCCTGATACAGCTAAGCAAGCGCTGGCGAGATTTTGAGAGCAAATTTGCTCAGTTTCGAAGACTCAACTATGCACAAATTGTGAGTTGTTACTGGCAAACCCATATGTTTGCAACTGCTACTACTAACAGCATCCTACTAACAATGAGAGCTTCAGGGTTAGTGTCAACTCTTCAGATATTAATAAGAGAAACACTATGGTCTGCAAGTGGGGGAATCTTTACATTCTAATAGTTCTCTACTTTGGTCTTAAAATTGCCCTTAAGTTAAATCACCCAATTTCAAAAACTCAGCAATGAAAGTATGTTTATTTCTGTTGCCTCATTATTTTTCCATAACATTTTCCAGTTTAAAAGCATTAGCTTGCCATGCATCTATTTTGTTTAATGAATGTGTAAACCACAAAAAATGTCTTTTCCAAACTACCCATCCCATGCCAATTTTAATTGTTTTTTTTTATTTGTCCATAATATGTTATAACCACTTTAGGAAGAGATTAAAAAAACCTCTTACAACACTATACATAGCTGACCTCTTCTTCAAATGCTTTAATTCTCAAAAGAGTTTTTGCAAGAAAGTGTACTTTTATATTTGATGAGAAGAAAACATAATTTTATGAACTGACTTTGTATCTTCTGAGTTCTTTAGTTGTATGTAAAATATAATTATTCTTACTGGTTTATACATGCTGCAGTAACTGGATAAATAAAAGGGAAATAAACCGTCACTATTCCAGGTTTATGATCAAAATCATATTGGGTGCTACCCATTTAGAAGGTTACCAGAGATTGGTTTTGCATTTACAAGGCAGTTTTTCCTTGCTATTCTGCTCATTGCCTCCTGGGCTTTTGATTTTGTATGATGAGAGATAAGATTTTCTCTCAAGGAAGTTGTTGCGTTATCTGCTCTTCTGTAATCTTAAAAGTGCTAGTAGGGTATTTTATTTATTTTTAAATTCACCTAGATTGCAGAGGGTGCTTACTGACAGGATAATGAAAATTTAAATACATGAAGTGTTATTTCTAATTGATACATTGTTGACTGTTTAAAAAAAAAAAAGAAAAAACTTTCCAAAAAATCAGCAATAATGTATAACCTTTTGGTCAATACAGTTCTCTACTTAATGTACTGATTGTATTGTGTATTTTAAACTTTTCTACTGTTGAGTTACATAATGTATATATAAAAGTAATAATTGAAATAGCTATTCGGTTAATGGAAACAATCAGAGAAACATTAACTTTGGTTTGTATGTTATTAAATCTTGTTCCATCTTATTACTTTTTTTGGATTACTATGGCTTATATTAAACTTGATGGATGTAATCAGTTGCAAATTGTTTATATTGAAATGGAGCTACAGCAGACTTCACTTTGTCTTGTAAATGAGTTGGTTTTTTTTTTTATAATGAATATATTTGTTCCTTTGATAAGCAAGTAAGAAATAAGTATGTGCATGCAATTTATATAAAAACATTCTGCTGTCAACATGCTTTTTCTGTCACCCACCACCCACCATGATAGAGGATGAGTATATCCATTATAAAATTTTGCTAGTAAATCAATAAAACAACTTGTTAGCATATTTTTCTTTTAAATATGTAAGGCAGATACATCAGCACATGTGCTTTTGAATTGGTTAAAGGAATACAGTCATCAGCTTTTTAAAGCCATGTAACCATTAAATGTTTTGTTTTGGTTTTTTTTGGTTAAAATATGTAATTTATATATTTCTATCATTGTAATGGTTAAATTTTAAAATATTCTCTAATATTTCATGGAAGAAGACTACTTAGTATTTATCTGGGAAATGAGGTCATTACTCAATGAAATTTACATCTGTACAGGAAAATTACTGTATACTTCTAATTTCTCATAAAAAATATCTTGTTCTGTTGACAATGACCAAGGTAATATTTATATGAAATATTTTAGAAGTGTTACAGAAGCTACTAAAACTGGTGAGAGGTGATATATTTTCCTAGCAAAAATCAGAGCGAGAAGTACAATTGCCTTACTACTGTTTTGGCTTTGATGAATCTTGGTGATTTTTTACTTTTTTAATACTGCCTAAGTACCTACCTCACAGGGATGTTGTGAGGATTAATGAATTGTTTGTGCAAGACCTTAAAATATAAAAGAAAAATGAAAATTCAAACTATTCACTTGAACACATGCATATACCAGCAAAAATATCTTTCACAGACATTTTCTGTGTTAACCACCAACAGAATAAAACCATATAATAAAAATTCAAAAAGGAATTTATTTTTAAAGCAAAAGAAATAGAAAACTGCTGTGTTTTTTATTTATAATTGATAAAGTATTCAATAACACATTTAACAATTGAAAGTTGTTATTATAAATCAATAAGTATTTAGTTGTACTGTATATCTTGCAATTCATTATGATTCATTGAATAAACATAGCAAGACTGCATTGAAGATGGCCTTTAATTATGTGGCTTAATGACAGATTTGCATTTATTACTTTTCTGGACCTAATATATTTCTGATATCAAAGTGTGAATTTAGAATGATCATGCTCCCCTGGATTTTAATTTTCCCTAATATTTCTTGGGAAAACCTGTCAGAAAGATATAGGAACCATAACCATATAAGAATTGATTCTCTCTAGCATGGTAGATTCTCATAAAATTTGGTTGTCTTACAAATATATAGCAGCCAATATCCAGCAATGTATACGGGTTTTTCTTCATATAAATGAGGTGTTTTTTCTCACCACCACTTTTGATCATTAGGTATGATATAATAATATTACCTCAAACTCTGCATGTTCTGTTTAATGCCAATTTTGAGACATCATTCGATTTGGTAATAGTAGTCATCTCTTTATGTGAAAATTGTCAGAAAGTAATTCTACAGGGAAAAAGGTGGGTTTATTGCAGTAATAGAATAAACCTGGCACATCAATACATAAACACAACTGCACAAAACCGAAAATGACACTGAGTGGAAAAAAGGTTTTGAAGTTCATGTTGTCTTGCAAGTTTATTCTCCCACCTGTTGTTTTTATTCCTATGTGTCAAAATGAACAGTGGGCAAAAAATTCTGTTTTTCAGTCAGGCAGATTGCTAATTCCTGTATTAAGAAAAGTTGAGTGTTCTACTTCATTTCTGCTAAAAAATTCTATTTGAAATCAGTTGGTAGTAACTGCAGTTGTGAAATCTGAATAACTTATTAAAGTGTGGAATATTTTACCATCATGTTTTAAAATTATGAATAACCACTAAATCCCACTGAAATAAGTGGGAAATTAAAATACTCTTCAAAAAACAAGCCATTTTAATCCTAGAGCAGAATGCAATTTTTGCATATTAAAATTATATGTTGTTTTTTTTAAAATTTGCTTCAGTAAAAATTAAAGAGATCAAGGGAAATTTACTTCTAGATTATCTCTGCAGAATCTAAAATCATTAAGCATTGGCAGTCTCACAGTATTTTCATAAGTTACCAATCCCCTTTGCTATAGCCTAAACCTAAATCTTCCAGTTACTATTTTTCTGCAACAGTTTATACTACTGTTCCAGGGTGACAAAATAGTTATCTGTTGCAGAGAAAAAGCTAGATTCAGATAGTTTAATTCAAATCAGGATCAAATATATTGATTACTTTTAATTAAATTACCTTTAGTTAATTCCCCTTTTATAGAAGTTTTTCCTCCGTGTTTTCATTTCAGCAGTCTTTGAGCATGTTTATGTCATGGCTTAGTTTAGACTTTATTGAGCTGACAGAAATTACGCTGTATGAAGAGAGTACCGAAGACCTTTTCATAAGGAAACATTTTAGGAATGAACACAGGTGCAGAGCCTACCCTGTAAATTCTAATTTCATTTGTCCTTTTACTATATTTTTTCAAGCTATCCACCACTCTTTCTGCCATCACAGATGGTATTATTTTTCTTTTCCTCTCTTGGCTGAACTGTGCATTCTGTAAATAGGAAGCCAGAATTTTCTTAGAAAGAGAGGAATGTTGTTCTTGGAACCTATTAACAACTGTCAAAATTATGTACCCATTGATGTGTATACAAGGGAAAAAGAAAAAAAAAGGTTTGCCTAACTCATTCCAGTAATTTCATTGGTGACACACACACAGATTCTCTTGAAATTTATGGTCAATTTACTACTGAAATATTTGGGTCTGGATTTTGGCCATACTGGGAAAAACAATAAAATCAAATCATATGATCAAATGATAAGTATCAGGAGAGGCTGTCTTTTCCATGCCAATTAGACTATGCATTGAGTAAGAATGAATAAGGAATATAGCTATACAAACCACATATTTATTTCTATAAGATAAGTAATTTAGTGTGAGCAGTTTGATAGTTATCTGCAACATAGATAAAACATTAGTACTCTCAGTAGTTACTATGAACTAAACATAATTTTTTTCTGAATCAAAGTTATTATTCTGTGAAAGGTTCTATAAAGTATTCAGAAATTCAAAATACCTGTCTCGTAACTGGATGATCACCTCAGGTGAGAGAGTGTGATCAACTTCTGGAACCAAGGACTGATCAAGTTTACATCTTTAATTCAAGTGTTTATTCAAGTTCAGGCTTTTAGGGGCATCTTGCAGGTTTCAGTTTACATTTCCCTGTGGAGCTCTATTTAGTTAATTTAATGATTTTTCTTTTTTTAACTGTTCAAATATGTTTAAATATAAAGATATTTTCTAAAACTAGAAATAAAGCATTATTTGAAATAAATTTCTTACAGTTAGATAAACACCAGACTTTGTGTCCTAATTATCTGTCTGCATCTGAATAACATGGATACTTTAGTGGTAATGTGCTACCATTGTTTTCAGTGATTGTTTTCCAGTTTCCATAAGCAGCAGTATTGACATGAAGTGGTTCTCATATCATTGCTTAAATAATTCTTGGGGTAAATAAACAAATAATGGTTGCCAAGAAGAAGGGACAAACTAATTTGTTATTATTCCTACAATGAGTAGGATAGAGGAAGAACATAAGAGAGAAAAGGCATTAGAAAGGTAAAATAGGAAAATACCTACTGGGCAAAAGAAAAGAACCATACAGTGATGGATTAGTATCTG